GGACAACTGGAGAAACAGCGTTATAAATGTTCCATTCAGCCTTCCTTTGAGATACTGAAAAAGTCAACGAATTCAAGATAGCTCTCATCAAAAGGTTCCTAGCATTACACGATCTACATAGAGAAAGGGAAAATACTCTGAAGAACAGTTGAAAAGTGATCAGTGGAGCACTAACTTCAACGTGTCAAGAAGTGCTAATCACAAGAAGCATCATCTAAAGGAGTGGATATCTGTGGAGACCCTGGACAAGGTTCAAGGTAGGAAGAACAATAAAACAGCGAATAACAACAGCCGAACGATAACAGAGAAAGTCAAGGTAAAGACGGAATACACACAAGTAAATAAAAGAATGAAGGGAAGCATTAGAGCTGATAAGCAAAAAACGTAGAAGGCCTACCAGTTGCAGCGGAAAGGCTTCAAGAGAAGAAAATACGAAGCAACCACATGACACAGTTGTTGGAAAGCCGCTCTATTTGCAGGCGTCTCTTCTTTCTTCCCATCTACTTCATTTACGTCACTGTTTGGATTAACTAGAATACTGTCCAGTTATAGCAAAACTTATTATTTACATGAATTCTATAACCCTTGGACAGAGTCATTCCTCACATTAAGAAGAAATACTCTCCAAATACTCATCGAGACCACTTCCGATTTATGACACTTCCTTTACCAGACGGAGTTTGTTTCTAGAAAAATTCTCTAAGCTGAGAAATTAGAGACCGAGAACCAGTTTAGTGAGTCCCAGCTCACCACAAAGTTTATTGCGAAGGTAGCCTCAGCTCGCCTCAAGGAGACTCTCGGCCAACATTTCAAAGGCAGAACATCCATCATGAGCACATTGATAAGTTTACGCTTCGATCCCATCCTCCCAGCCCAGGTGACTGAATCCTCCTCAATAGAAAATTTTAGAAAAGGACACCCTAACTTTGGGCGCCATGGTGTCTTAGATATATTCGCTTGAGACATAACCTGCCTATACTTGATTTTGCAGTGACACGCTCTGTGCGTTTCAGCATGTATACATCATGTCTCGTTCACATCCACCATTATTACTCGTCTCTTCAAAAGAGATACAAATCCCTTTGATTAAGTGCAGAAACGAGAGACTAAATGAACGATGAAGCTGTGAAACAAGTCCAATAAAAAAAGACTCCGACACACAAGGATATTTCTTCTGTGCTACAGGGACGAAGAACTGATCTGAAAACGGCACATGACATATTTAGTACGCTAAGTCACCTAAACACGAACATCCTAAAAGAACATCATCATCATTATTTCTGAGAAAATCCTTGAAAAATTCCATGTCAAAAGGCAAAAGCTCATATATACCCCTGATTTTTCTCATTGGGAAATGCCGCTATCTGCCTTGTTCGTTGTGACCGCAGACTCCAACAAGTGACTTAAAAAACACTTATTCACTAATGACTTATTATTTTGCACTCAGAATAACTGTACTTGACGCATGTCTCGTTGCTCACCTACTGTTACCATTACCACAAGTCACTGACTTATTCTTATCCCGGTTATTATCGTCTTCGTTTTCCCTTTTGTTCTTAAACTTCAGTCTTATCACACTGTCTGCATTACCGTTCCATTACCTTGTGTAATTATCAATCCACTTATTGAGACAACGGTCTTCTCTTACCTTTTCTGAATTTGGATTTTCTCTTTATTACTTTTCACCGTGCAAACAACCAACCAAACTCTAGTCTGGTAATGTGATATTTACTGGTACGAGAAACTTTAATGCCTCGAGACAAAAGTTCTCATTCAGATTGCAGGATATAGAGACCCATTAATAATTACCAAAACTGACCATAATCAGTGCGATCATATGGCTAAACTTCAACAAATTGGGATTTACAATTCGTTCATTTTATCTCTAAAATCCAATATGTTACTAACAATTAGTTGACTCCCCTGAAACAAGACGGATACTGGTTCTTATCATAAATGGATGAAATCAGGGGAACTACGTGGCTTCTGTTAGTTCATTAAAACTGTATTGTATATATTGGATATGCTTTGTTGCGGCGCGCATTATTAAAGATATAGCTACCGCAGGTGGGTTAGTTTGTCGTTACTTTATCGAGTATTATGTTTCATGGGTTTGTGTTCATAAGAATGGTATACTTTTATCTACAGACTAGATTCGGATGGTAACGAAGTTTCAGTCATGAGATAGTTTAACAAATTCCCAGATTTAAAGTTTGGTCTTATGTCTTATTATTTCTAAACTTCCATTAATTACGTTGCTTTTGGATATATAATGGTGAGCTCCTCATATGGATAGTTAGTGATAGGCATGAGACATTCGTGGACACTCAGACAAGGCTTTTGTCATGTGTATCTGGTCTTCTTGTTAATAATGTCCTATTTCACTTGTTTGGCATAAGCGGAAGGGTTTTGGACCAAAAATGCAAGTATGTCAAAAAGAATACTTTTACTTGGTAATAAATTACAGAATGTAGGTTGGTGTTGACAGTGCGTGCGTACGCCATTTTTGTGCATGTGTCTCGAGTCCAAAGGAAAAAATAAATATGAATCAAAATGCATAATGATAAAAAACTAATTAATACAAAAATTGCTATCAGGATGATAAATAAAAACTTATCGCAACCATACACACGTCAGGTTAATGAATCCGGTTGTTTTAGACTTTGAACAAACTTTGTATTTCAGTTTGAAGTCTTGATATACAGATAGACAACCTAGACACTAACTGTTATATATTTATTTATTTAACACATAAACTTTCGTATAAGGAGACACCAAATTGTTATGCGCCTTATAAATCATTGGATTTGTCTGTGGGCTGGGATAATGCCAGGACGTCCAAACCGAAGCAGGTGGTTTTCTTAGAAGGCCGAACCCACAGCCTTCAACTTGAAGGCTTGATCCACAAGGTAGTGTAGGAACGTCAGCAGATGCAGTCCCATGGTAGCCGGTCACCAACGGTTGGTTTTTTACGCCATTTGTTCTCTCACTATCGTGGAACCCATGTGCACCATTGGTTTCGAATGAGGGTTTTTCAACAACCCTAGGTGGACTCTCCATGTCCACTAACCCGGTTAAAGCGCCGGACATTCTCTTTTCGTCCTCTCAATTTTGTAATTAACAGTGATGCTTCGAGGAGGCAGTGAGTAAAAGTTTCCTGTCAGTGATTGTATGCACGTGGCTATGTAAGAGCATTTTGAGAGGGACAGTTGGCTCCCCAATTTCTGCCGTACTAGGGCATTTGGGAGCACCTAGCAACTGAACATTCGTCACATCCAAGATTCCATGGTGCAACAATGCAATCAGTTGTCAACTGCTACATGTACAAATTCCACACTCAGCTGTGGATTATTGAGGTAAGCTGTAAGCTACCATGTTTGAATATTCTTGGCAATCACCTAGCTGCATCATTATCATTGCCGGATACGATCACGTCCATACTATGGAATCACAGATAATTATGAAGCAAAATTTAATGAGAGATGGCTAAGCTGGTATATATATATATATATATATATATATATATATATATATACATATATATATATATGAGAGAACCATTTGCTTCTTTAGTTTGGAGGCTATTATAATGTCGTATACTTCACTATGCGATTTACGACTAGTATCATGTTTTACAGCTTAGCGTTGTGAAATGTTCTGTAGGTTGTTATAGTGCTCACAGTAGCCTCTACAATTTAAACTTACGTCTCTACAACTACTTCTAGATCGACGAACTTTAGTCTCACGACACCACTATGGTCTATGTACACATACCAATTGCATTAGGGGTGTTTGTAATACCATCGTTACTTCTCTTCGTGCTGTTAAAGTAGATAAAAATTACCATAGGTTTCTGTGTTCCGTCGTGTCTGTAACTTACCAATATGTGCATATAACAAGTCAGTTCAATCCGCAGAACGTGTTCCAATCACATAAAATTTCCCTATTCAGAAGAGGCTTATCTCAGTAATTGGTTGTTGTTTAATGACTCTGTACCAACATTATATATATATATATATATATATATATATATATGCCTGCACATAATTTCGGTATACTTTTCAGCCTATTATTTTCTTGGACCAGTGTTCCGTCTGGACACTATGGGGTACTGTGAAGAAATGATTAATTTGCCAATATTTATAAATGTATCGCGGATGACGTTGCTTATGATTGGGTTAAAAATCCTTGAAGCTCTACGCTACAACCTCCCAGTTTGAAAACAAGAGTTTGTGTCACGCTGTCTCAGTTGTGAGCTGGATATTGCAAGCTACTACACCAGTCACCATTGCGGGTCCAATTAGACAGGGGTTGAGCGTAGGTATCTCATGTCTCAGATATCTAAATCCATGATTCACAGCCTCATTAACTGATTTGTCAACTTTACATTGTACTAGGTATAAGCTTTATGATAACTTACTCAGTCGCTCCACTATACACTAATAAAGCTTCGAAAATACCTGTGATAAAATAATAGTACTCTAAGAATTCTCTACCTTCAAAATCCGCTTCCCACACCCGTATAGTAAAAGAAAACAGACTTCTACGCTGTATACCATCATCGTTTAGTAGACGCGGATATCTATTTTACACTAGGTGGTACGAGTTGGGGAAACCGGATTATTTTTTTCGATTTAGTATCGAGATCTACTGTTACCAACTAATCATGGCTAGCGAAACTTCCCAGATGTAAAGGGAAATGAAACACCTGGTTTTTTTCCGGACAAACGTGAACAAAAAATCAGTTGCTTATCATGCAAAGTCATTAGGTCAGTTATCTTGGTTTGAGTACCCTTCGTTTTTTCAACCTGATCCAACACGAGATTACATCTGTAGAGGTTGGCAGTACTGGGTTACTTTAATAGGTTCCCAGTTACCTACTTCACGTAAGTAGGCTTCAGATCTTTTTTTCCATTGACTCCTAAAAGATTCCTTTTCTCAGTACTTAACTACATTTATTTTTAACCACTTTGTGGCAAAGTTAAAAAATACCTGGTGGCAATCGTTATAGGTTGTGCAGTTGGGTTTGTTTTTGGCTATCTCATGATCCGAAAATATCCATTTTAATATGTTTTTCAGTTCCGTTTTCTGCTGACATTTTCGTTCATATCGTTTAAAAGTATACCATTACACAAACTCTTAATTATTTAGTCTGCCTGTATAAGTTACACAGCCACTTATTTGAAAATGGTTATTAGCTTATTTTGTTAATTGTCACCAAAAACTGCTGTAAATTGCGAGAAAAGTTCTGGTCTATGTACGAAGATTTTAATCATGTTTAGAATGAAATATAATATCCGTCTACCTTCAACAAACTAACGAATAAGCACATTTTAAACCAATCTGCACAGGATGCACATATATGCTAAAAGAGATTGATTAATTAGAGTTCTAAACAATAATGGAAGATTCGAATAAACAATACAAATGGATTAAGGTAAAGAATAGTTCAAAAACCTTAAATTCAATGACTCAGTATCAAGTGCTCAACGCCTTAAAATGACATTAAATATTTCATAAACTATCAAACGCTACTATTAGGTCTTGAAGACACTTCGTTCATTAAACTTTCAGTACGTAACCGATTCTGTACTCGAGTGTAAGTCAATTTTATTAACCTTTCAAATATATAACAGGAAATAAACACTCATTAACCCAACCGCTTTATTAATTGCCTTTAGCCACTCATTTATTTTGTCTGGTTGACAAATACCTGGTCAAAAGTGCGACTTATCATCGTAACTTTGTATAATCTCCATTAATTGAGATTAAATTCCCATCTTCACGTTTACAGATGACACTAAGATGCAAGATAAGCCAATTTTAGTAATGATAAAAAATATTTGTGATTCAGGTTTTTAGCGTCATGTTTTTTTTTTGTCACTAAGATTATGAGTTCTCATAACATATTATTTACTAATGTTAATAGTTTTAGTTCCGTTGATTATGGCTGACACAAGCAACAACTCAGAAGAAAACGATAAACATAATGACATGGATAAGAAAGGAATACCAAAGGCTGAGTTCATCGAAGATGTAGATGCTTACATGAAAGCCAATAATTTTTCAACTCTTATGGAAGCTGGACGTTCTTTCGAAGAATTATACCAAAAATATAAAATTATTGAACAGGCTCTATTACAGCGTAAAATAAGATTAATGCAACAGTTACCAGATATACAGAAAACTTTAGCTGTTGTCCGACAATTACAAAAACAAAATACTAATTTAGACGTAACTTTTGAAATATCTAACCAGTTATATACACGTGCTCATATTCCCAAAGCAGATAGAGTTGGTTTATGGTTAGGTGCCAATGTCATGTTAGAATATGATCTAGAGGAAGCTGACAAAATACTCGTTGAAAATGAACAATCAGCTGAACAATCCTTGCAAGATGTAGATCAAACATTAGAATTTCTTAAAAATCAAACAACTACAGTCGAAGTAAATTTGGCTCGCTTACACAATTTGTCTGTAAAACGTGGACGTCAAAATCAGTCATCTGAAGTGAATGCATGAACAAAAAATCAATATGATGGAATTCCAGCAAGTACTACCTAAGAACAGACTGTCACTTATGAAAATTTCCAGATATTAGTATATATATATCATCTAAGTTCAATGGACATCTTTATGTGTACATTACGTAGGTTTACTTGGTTTTACATTTTTCTGAAAAAATTACTCTTCACACGCAAACTGTAAATTGTTTCAACGGCTATTTAAAGTTAAGCAATCTCTTACTTTTCTCACTGAGTATTTAGTTCTATGTTTCATATACCTCTGTTGTTTCTAGCGGTTGCTTCAATGAACCACAATCTCAGTACACTACCTGTTTTCAGTCAAAGCAGTAAACTGTAAAAAACAAACAGTCGAAATCTTTTTTTTTCGTGTGTAGACGCTCTATCACTTACTCTCGAAACATTACTCGAAATAGTGTATAAATCTTTATCATATTGCTTTAAATTTTTGGTTTTGTTTAATAGTGATATTAATAAAAACTGTATTGATAACTTTTCTCACTAACGATAAGATAAAATGTTATGGTATAGAAGTAAGTTGTAAGAAAGCTAGGGGCGGCTAGACCGAAACATGTCACAAATCCATGAAGTCACTGAACCATATTAGTGGATGTAGACTACTTAGTTAGGATCCGCAAGACGATAGCAACTGATGGTTAGAAATTGTGACGACGGACCACGGGTGAACTCGAAGAAGCTGTAGGAGGCTCAGAAGGAGCCGAGGATATTCCATCCAATCACCTTTTGGAAGAATATTCTAGAATTCTTACGTGTAGCTTCCCGATTGGACAATGCTAATAACCCCCTGTATGTGGATTGGAGGACTTTAATGATGATTACGTTCTTACTAAAAACTATAAATACCTGACAGTTTTGTACTATAATTGGCATTGTCTGGGAACAATATTCCTTTCATTAGTCTTCCGTCTTCTCATTGCGACTTGGAAGGGTTCTGGCGTTCCAGTGCTCATGTTATACGCGGTACATCAAGAACAACCTTCTAGATATAACAGAGACTTTAAATGACATGGCTCAAAATTGTTTGTAATGGCGTATGTGCATCCGCTCCGTGTTCTCCTGAATTTTAATCTTCTGAATTCTTCATGTCCCTTTATTTTTACTCTTTCCAAACTTATTTCACTGGATTATACTCCTTGAATAACGTCTTCAAACCCTAATGTACCCGATTACTGTCTAACTTAATACCTCTACCACTACGGAATTTGAATGGACAATTATATCTGTGTCCTAATGTGGTATAGCAACTCAAAATGATGTACGTACGTAGGAACTTCTACGTTGTTGACTGACTGATAAGATAAAATATCTATGGGCAATGTATTCTATAAGTCTTCAGGCTTACTCAAATAAATTTACAGCTTAATTTAATTTTGTAATGGCTTTGATTACCCCGTCGTCGAATATTTTGACTGAGATTTGATCAGTCCTAATGGACATATATTGGCCGGATACCATCAGCAACAGCCTTCTGTGGGAGAGAACAAACCAGCTTCCAGTTGAAGAAGAAATTAGGAAAAGACGATGGAAATGGATAGGACATACATTACGCAAATCATCAAACTACATCACGAGGCAGGCCGTAACTTGGAATCGTGATGGGAAGTGGAAAAGAGGAAGGCCAAAGAACACATTACATCGGGAAATAGAAGCAGATATGAAAAAGATGAATAGAAACTGGAAGGAGCTGGAAAGGATTGCCCAGGACAGAGTTAGATGAAGAATGCTGGCGAGCGGCCTATGCTCATTCACGAGGAGTAACAGGCGTAAGTAAGTAAGTAAGTAATGGACATTTGTGCATCTTGTACAGATTGCCACAATATTCGCCATTATGGAATAGATGGAATGTGGGTAGCTATACAATCTTGTGACATAATGTCTATATTAAAGTAATTTCCACAGAATACACATATGTCAACTAAGACTGATCAAATTTAAGTCAAAATATTCGACAACAAGATAGTCCAAATGTTGGGGACGATGGATCCCCAAAACTCATATTTTGTAATTTCATCTTATCGATTAAATGTTAAATAGCAGTCAATTGACGAATTTATCGATTAAATATCTGAATGCCTGTCGATTGGTGAACTTATTGATTAATGTTTAAAAACATTTTACTATGACAATATCGATTGTAAATATTTGTATAAATACGCTTGATTTGTGTGCTTGACTTGTTATCTGCTGTTTGTCTGTAGAATACACTTTCTACGCCTCACCCAGACTTCTAGATCGCGTTAGCTGAGTCGGGTACAACGGACCTGAACCCCTTGATCCGATCGATGAGTCACTGTCCTATAATCGGCGGCCCTCCTTGAGATAAAACACCAAATCATTAAAAACTAAATTACAGTTAATACCCGTTGCATCAGTAATTAGCTCTGTGAACTCAGTTACTGGTTATGTAAATAACTCATTGGTGTCTGGATGGGAACGTCTTAGGTTCGAATCTCGGAGTGAACATCAACTTGGAGATGCAAGTACATCCAAATGAGAACTCCTAAGTAGGATGAAACTCATCATGGATTCCACTGATAGCTACATTCCATCTATTCTATATATATACCGAAATATTAGTTTAATTTGAAGACAAGTTGAAAGAAATTTTTTTCCATCATGTCTTGGAAGTCCTCCTAGTCAAACAATTGTGTAATAAACAAGCAATCCCAACTCATTGGTTATGCACAACACTATACCATTTTCAAGACATTTGTTCTTCTCTACCTTGATGCATGAGATCATAAGTTACTGTTTTCGTTTTACTCACCTCAATTGGTCGTTAAGGCAACATGTGTATTACTTGTTCAATGTAAGGTTATGATAATCTATTTCGCTATACGTTCATACGCTTTATTCACTAAATAATGATAAACTAATGGCGCATTTCCTAGTCTTTATAATCATGTGGTTGACAGTCGAGTTTGTCAATTAGATGAAAAGGAATTATGCTTTGACTGATGGATACTAAATCAATTCGAAGTTTGTCAATAAAGTAGTCGTATGCATACATTCATCAAGACTTTTCAGTAGATTCTTAACAGTTATAAATTCAATTGCTGTAGTTTACTTGTCTCTTCCAATTGTTATTTAGGATTGCAATTGATCGGTCTCCTATTGGCATATGTGCATCCTGTGCAGATTGCCTCCATATTGCCTTAGATCCCAAGTTTATTTATTTATTTTAACACATAGATATTGGTACAAGGAGGCACCAAATATATGTGCGCCACACAAATCTCACTTGATTTATTTGAGGGCTGTGATACTGCCCGGGTGCCCGAACCGAAGAAGGTGGTTTTCTTAGGAGGCCACATCCGAAGCTTTTGACCTGAAGGTCTGATCCACATGCCAGTGGAGCATCGTAAGGAGATGCAGTCCCATGGTAGCCAGTGACCAACAATTGGTTCACACGCCATTTGTTCCCGCAGGATACTGGAGCCCATGTGTACCATTGGTTTGGGATCCGGTTAAAGCGCCGGACATTCGCTTTTCGTCCTCTCATTTTCGTAAACAACACCCCCGCCACGAGAAGGCAGTGAGTAGGACTTCCCTGGCAGAGGCTGTATACGCGTGGCCATGTGAGAGCATTTCGAGAGGGAGAGAGGACTCTCCCTACTCGGCCGTACCAGGGCATTTGGGGGCTCTCTAAGTAAAGATGGATAGTAGTTAGTAGTGGAATCCTGGACGCGTATTTCGTCGCATTTGGGACCCGACATCTGGATGCACCTGCATCACAGAGTTGATGTTCACCCGAGGAATCGAACCCAGTACCGTTCGCTCCAAACCGTTTGCCCCCAAATGCCCTGGTACGGCCGAGAGTGGGGAGAGTCCGCTCTCCCTCTCGAAATGCTCTCACACGGCCAAGCGTATATAGCCTCTGCCAGGGAAGTCCTACTCACTGCCTTCTCGTGGCGGGGATGTTGTTTACGAAAATGAGAGGACGAAAAGCGAATGTTCGGCGCTTTAACCGGATTCAAAACCAATGGTGCACATGGGCTCCAGTATCCTGCGGGAACAAATGGCGTATGAACCAATTGCTGGTCACCGGCTTCCATGGGACTGCATCTCCTTACGATGCTCCACTGCCTTGTGGATCAGACCATTAGGTCAAAGGCTCGGGGTGTGGCCCCCTAAGAAAACCACTTGCTTCGGTCTGGGCACCCGGGCAGTATCATAGCCCTCACACATATCGAATAAGATTTGTGTGGCGCATATGTATTTGGTGCCTCTTTGTACCATTATCTATGTGTTGAAATAAAAAAAAACGCCATTACATTATCCATTTAGCTACTGATTCCTGATAGCCACTTGCTTGTACAATGGAGTGAAGCTTAAATTTACTTAGTATTGTTTGCTTATATCTTCTTATCATTTAGCTTATCATCTGTCCATCCTAGGCCAAGTTTTGAAATACGTTTGAGTTGAAGCACAACTAAACTGATATGTAATATTTTAGCTTAAGGTGCACTCAGTTAAATCGTTTAGCCAGAAAGGTCGGTTGCATAAAAATATTAGTTGGCATGATTTGTAATTGGGCAGCAACCTGCATTAGTTTCCTGAGAATTTTATTATATCTCTAACCACATACGCTTTGCTTCATTGAACTTAGAGGCTTTCTTATGTTCTCGAGTTATGAGTTATCAACTGAAGAAATGTACCCCGTAATCTATGTGGATAGTTGTTTATGACATTCGTTTAAACAGTGTGATGTGAGTTGTTCATACTTATTACCTTATCACATGTTTATCTTCGAAATAGAAAAAAATATTTTACATTCGTTATTTATTCTTGAAAATGTTTAGAGAATTTACCTCGTAACAAATAGAGGTGTGGCACATTGGACTGATGCATATATATGCCTGGTCTTACATTGTAGCTGACTAACTAAAGTAGAATATTTCTATCGACTTGGTCTGGAAAATTAATATTGTTTTTTTAAGTAAACACAACAAAACTTAGTTTTCGCTATATGCCGGT